CTCTGATTGGTCGGGGTTTTTCGTTAATGTCTCGTTAACAAAGCCTCGGATAACATTTTCGCTAAGGAAAAAGTCGTTTCAAATCCTGCCAGGAACCCCTCGTTTCCGGGAGTCAAAGCTATTTTGGGACACCCTGTATGGCCGCCACTTACAAGAAACTACGCTCGCTGCTCGTATAAAGTCACCGCAGTGCCATTTTCCCAAAAAACCAACCACGGTGCCACGTGGTAACCCTGACGAATGCGCCACGTGGGGTAAATTGCGACCGCATTAACTCCCTCGGCCCTCGGTCGCAATAAAGCACATAAACGTGAGAAGAAGTGGCGATCATTCCGGCCGGGAACCGATCCGATATATACAGTAAAAAGAAAAAGTATTCGTGCACCAGCGATTCTAATGATCAATTGACAATGCTGTTTTTAACAATACTAATAAGTTAAAATTGACTTTCCTTTGGTTATTCCATAACAATTTAAGTTTCTGCCAATGGCATAGTCTGATGGACATATTCATAAACTTGGTTTTACAGTAAAAACAGTATTCTTAACTCTAGGACGGCGGTGCCTGCGAACATTTGTACCCTAAAGCCGATTCACACTAGCGATCGAAGGTACGATTCGATCACGATCAATCTGAATTTAGACTATATCTCTCTCATTAGATTACCACTAGTCTGAATCCGGCTTAATTCTCAAAAGCTCCATCCAAATCATCAACTTATAAATCTAATTTAAGCCAAGATTTGTTCATATTAGGTCATACAAGTAAGTGGGTCGTCTTGAGTAACAGTCATCAAAATAAAGAAGCAAGCATATGGGTACAAACAGACCCAAGCACCACTGCCTGTAAGGAACATTAAAAACCTCCGTTCTTTGAGGGTTAATCGATAATAAGTGTCATCGGTGTATGAACACTTTCTTTCTGCTACTGTACGTCATCAGGAGCGGTCTCGAAATACAACGCTTAGCTTTAGTTCGTAGATGAGTTGAGAATGATCTCTTTTTGTTCCATATGTAGAGACTAACACGTATGCTTTGCACGCGCTTTATCTGTCCCGCGGAAGGCACGAAACAAACAAAAGAAAAAAAAAATACAAAACGCACCCTCGAGAGAGCGAGAGACTTTCGCAGGTACGAATAACGATCGTTGTTGCATCCCCCTCTCTTCCACACCCGACCCGCTCTTCTAGCATCGGGACACGCAGGAAACGCTGACAGTCCTCGACAGGTTGGACCTTGATACGGAGAAGCCGACCGACGAGGAACTGGCAAGGAAGTTTGGCTTCGAGGAGGCGTATTACGAGGGCACGCTCACCTGGTGGCAGAAACTCAAGCCCCAAATGTGGTCGCTTTTCGACGAACCGTACTCGTCATTGGCAGCCAAGGTGCGTATGATTTAATGTTATTTTGGATAATTTTCTGCGGGGATCGCGTCGATATCGTGGATAGAGATTTCACTGACAGGAACGTTTATTACGATACGTTACCGGTCAAAAACTTGGTACAGTAGAACGTCGATTGTATTGTCAACTCTTAAAGACACATTACTGAAACATAAAACGAGTGGACCAAGATGTTTTATCTCTTTTTATTGGCAAAGATGGTGTTAATAAAAGTGGGGACACTTCCAGTGGGTACATTCTACATGCAATACTAAGACCAAAATGGTGATTAAATTGTGTTCGAGGCTTTGTTTTTTTAAAACTTCAAACTTCATTTTTATAAAATAGGAAACGATTTTTTAGTGAAAAATCACAGTTCTCTATTGAAACAGTCAATATGTTATGAAAAATTAATATTTTTAAAATCGGCTACGATAAAAACTAGTTTTTTAAATCTATTTTAAAAGAATGTTTTCCTTTTTATTTAAGATCAAACCCATCGGAGATATTTTGGTTACCGGACAAGCTGTTCTTAAAAAACTGCTTAAGGGAAATCGTTAGTACATACTCAATTTTCTGAGTTTGTGAATGACATTTACAAAATTGTTGCATTAAAGTATATATTTTAAGATGTATATAATAATTTTTTAATTAAATAATATTTTCCAAAACAGAATTGTCAAAATTGATCCTAGTACTCTCATACCGTATAGTAAATCCTCGATGAATATTCGAAGGCTTTACGACACTGAACATTAAATATTTCATAAACTAATGGCCATATGCGACTGAAACAAATATCAGTGCTAAATCTCATTCAAAAGTCAGCGTTACACCTGGGGTCCTCTCCTCGTCAGTGCTGAGAAGCCTTCGAAAACTCATCGAGGATTTACTGTACCATGACAAATACATGCATTTCAGATTAATATTCAAATTTGATTTTCTCGAAAACGGGTCCCAAATGAAAAAATCTTATTCTATATTTTTAACTCATTTTTTCACGTAGAATCACCGCCCAATCGGTTGTACCACAAGTTTCAGGTCACCCTGTATGTAAATACGTTCCATGTAAGATCTTACTGACGGTTATCAAAAATTGGAAGATCTCATTGAAAGTGTTACATCTCGTAGGGTCGGTTTAAAAAGATTGTAACGAACGTTTTTTGTTTATAATTCATTATAAGTCCGTTTGTCGTTACGAGCATACATTTAAAAATGATTTATTGGTGATCGTGTATCATTTATATCAATTTTAACTCTAAAATCAAAATGATGCTCGTTCTAGACCATGATTACATGGATCGTAACCGCTAAGTAACCCAAATATAAACCATAGTTACAATAACCATATTATCCGGTAACGAAATCTCTCAAGCAGTTACGGAGAGCGAGTTAATCTTCTCAGCAGCAGATTACACACGACAAAGTCATAATTACATTTAACAGATTCGGTAACCTCAAGTATAATCGGATTCGGCTCTTTATCTATATGTACATGCAGTAACCAACATAATCCAAAATATTAATTTCTATGACACGATAAAACACACTTATTATAACTCCTAATGACATTGATGGACCCTATCAGTTAATTCGTAATGTCAAATACTATTTTCTCTTTGTTGTAATTTTTTCTTCTAAACTGATAAACACATTGGTTACGGAAGTAATTCTTACATAATTATATCCAACGTAAAAAATGATATAATAAAGAATACTCACAAAATTTTGTCTAAATTGAGAAAGTTTTCGGTTATCTGTCAACAAGAAAATGATAAAAAATCTGTTACACATGTAACTAGTTTTTATCAAAATGAAGCATACAGTTTCCTGTTGATAACAAGTAGTATACTCTCGTAAAAGTACCCACTGGTTTCGACTTTAATCGATTTAACAAAAAATTAATGTAAAAATAAAACATTTACATTAGCATAAACTTTAAATAAGACACTTCAGATTAGGTTATATTCAATTGAGAAATTATACATAGTTGATTTGAAAACGTATTGTTAACAGTAAAGGTAAAAGTATCAAAAGGAGACACATAAAAGTAGCCACCTAAAGGCAACATTTATTTGATATAAAAATATTTACAATTAAATAATACTTTCTCGAATATTGTTGCAATCTTCTGATGAGATTTAATTTACATAAATTAGTATAAAAATTTTCATGAATGCATACTAATCTTGGGTAAATATAGTCAAGACTTACATTAATATAAATTATAAGTGTTAAGTCTGACTATAACATAATTAAACATGTAAAACGTGTCTTACATATTGGATTGGCGGCTACTTCTGATAACAACTGTATTTATTAATACTGGAACAATGGAACGTTACATATGTCTTCGTATATTCAGGGCAGCTACAATTCTTTTTATTCTTCATTTACTCTCGTTACACAGTGACATTCAATTGTTCATTATTTGCTCAATATTATAACAATATAATTTAACACCTTACTGACTGGTAGCCTGTTGACAGGCTTTTTCATTTTAACGCTTGTCAATAAGAAACGTATTATTACCTTCAAATCAGACTTAATGAAGAAATCGTTACATTACGTTACTACGATTCGTGCTATGTTTCACGATTGTAATTTGCTCCTGTGACTGAACTTAATAGGTCTTTGGCTTTTAAGGGTGGTTTCGCACTCGGAAACGTTGTTTTTAAACGATTTTTAGAACTGAGAATTAATGAACCAAGGAATTTGTAGTTTTTTGTACATGTTTGATCACATTTCTAAAAAGCACAGTAACATTCTTGTACAATTATCTTTTATTGTTGTCTTAAAAAAATGTTGCAACAAAATGGTAGCCATGTATAGCAAAAATTCATTAAATTTGAAACTTCTTCAGACGATAAAATAGATATATTGCAGATACTGACATAATAGTAGTTTACAAGATAAAGAGGTGTCTATTTTATATGTATGTCAAAGCTGAAGTAAATTGGTTAACTAATTATTGTGATGTCGTGGGAGCCAGTTTGGAAAACATGATTTCGAGAAGAATGCGTTTACTCGTGCAGCAGTGCATCATTCTCTTAAAATCGTTATAACTTCGTCATTTCAATGAATTGAAGCATATCATGTACCCAACGCGATAGCTTCAATTTTTGCAACATTTTTAGGGTATTACACTTTCGGAAAATGCAATAAAAAATCAATTTTTTGACCCCTCCGAATGCGAATCGGGTTTATGATAGATATGTACAGTAAGACCCCGTATAATACTCCTACAATGCAAACTAAAAATTAATAATACATATAATGAAAAAATTTTACGCTTTCATTATTTCAAAAAGGAAATAAAATGCATATTATTTTCTGTTGTATTTGAAAACACTTCTTTTCATTTATTAAGTTCTTGCGTTCTGGGTCCCGTATAACACGTTATTCGTATAACGTATGTTTCACGTTATAAGGGTTCTACTATATTAAGTAGAGTGGATGCACCAGTAAATGTATACGTACCAGTGAACGAACATTATGTACATGTACATTGTACATATACATGTACAAAAACGAGTGATTTAGAATAAGCAAATGATTAAATATTGATTTTTTTCCATTCCTTGTTTCATATTCAATCAATTTTTGCGCCATTGGTCAGAAATGTTCATTTATTTAATATTGTACAGTCACCGGTTTAATGTAATTAACTGTATTTTCCAGAAATGTACAAATATTAAAAAATGTAATTTTCATCTGCCAATTATTTATTAATATTATTACCACTTAAAATTCGACTTGAAAACAACCCTGCGTTGTAGAACGTTACGCAGACTTTAATTAATTAGTCAAAGTGTATATCGCTGAAATAATGCGGTGAAAATAAAATTAAAGGGTACACATAGGGTTCGAGAATGAAACGATACTCCATAGACCTAAGCAAATTGTTCCGAGACTGTAGACGCTCCAGAATCAAACTAAATCTGGAACTTTTCCTGACCCCTCGTGTAGATTAGCGTTATTGTCATTGATTTACTGTTATTCCTAACTTGTAACCTAATCAAACTTAGGGACTCCCACAATTAATTTACTTTCGCAGACTTCTCCCGCTGAGCTTCTTAGCCTTTCACGTAAACGTTGACTCATCGAATTTCTTGTATTAATGACACAATTCTTATTTCTGAGTTACGTATTGGGTCATTTGGAAAGTTCGTAGAGTGTTCCGATACAGTGCCGATGTTGCCTTTTTACTGGACAAAGGAAAAATAGTTTGAGCTGGTGAAGAGGTGCTATTTTCCAGGTGTGGAGTGAATATATTTGCTGTATAAGTTAATCGTCTTTTTTGTGAGAAATACCGACGAAACCTATTACCAGAGGCTACTTTCATTAGATTCTATCAAACTTTGAAAAAAGTTACGCTACTCAGATTGGAAAATTTTACAGCACGTACCTAATTAATTAGACTTTGCCGTATTAGATGATTACGCTCTTAAATCGCTAGAATTTTCTGTAATAAGAAAGAACTTCGAAAATAGATACATCTGGAAGCAAATTGAAGAGTTCTTTTAGTCAAAACAGTCGAAGTTTTATGTAGCTAGTAGAAACGAAAGTAATTGAAAAATAGAAAGAAATTGAAACGAAAAGTAGTAAATGAGAATATGATATAAGTTGAAAAATATAGATTGTAGCTCTGGCATTAAAAACGCTTCGAATTTTGCGAGCAGTCCAATTGGTAATTTAATTTCTTCTCGATCATTGTTTGCATCAGATTAATTACACTAGAATTAGAAGTTATTCCTTTCCTTAATACATAAGTGTAACCATGACACGTTCCTGAAAACAGTTCGTCGCTCTAGTTCCTAATTGTTCTATCTCCACTAGTTTCTAAACTGAGAAAACTGAGTTTGAAGTTTACGAAATTTAATATTATACAAGCAGGAAAGTAGTGAAATAATGAAACACGCTATAATATCATCTACTGAATAGCTATTTACTACAATATTTAACAAAACTTTATCTTATTATCAACAAAAATGTTTAATCGT